AAACCTATTTCCAACCTAAACCTAGTTTTAAACCTACATTTCAAGCGCTTGACGAACTTCATCACAGTTGGAAAGTTCATAAATTCCATAGATTTTAATATCATCAGCGAACGTCTTAACTTTGATGGAAGGTGCCGTTTTCAGTAGGGAAGGTAAATCCATAGTGTATATCAAAAAGAGAAGTGGAGAGAGTGCACCCCCTTGATGCACTCCACTTTGACGAGAGTGTTTCTTAGAATAGGCACGATCAAATTTACGTCACACTTCTGTCTCCAAGTAAGATTCAAGCCAAGCGAGAAGATTGTCAGATATTCCAAGGCTTCTTAGTTTCATGACGAGTTTTCGGCATACTACACCAAAAGCTTTTGAAAGATCGACATAAATGTTGTCCGCAGCTTGATTATTATTTAGAGCAACTGTCCAGTCAAACAAGCTGTCGGCTAGACTAGTCACCGTGCTCGCACCTTGAAAAATCTGTGCTGCTCTTCAGGAATAATGCCTGATTTATTTAGCCAAGATGTTATGATATCCCTTAGCATTCTTTCCATAACCTTGACGGAGGAAGATGTCATGCTAATGGGACGGAATTCAGAAACTAACCTTGAATCAGATTTCTTTGGAATTGCTGTAATAATGGCGAATTGCTGTAATAATGGCCTCTTTCCATAGCTTAGGCATTTCACCCGACATCATGGAAATGTTGAAGATGTGTGCAAAGGTTTGCTAAGCGCATCCGCACATTCTTTATAGATAATCTGAGGAATACCATCATAAGGCTCTGAGAGTGATCAACTTTTTCAGAACAATACGAATGTCAGAAGGCACGAAGAACACATTGTCAAGTCGTCACATAATTTGAAAAACACTGAGATTAAAATCCATAGCGTCGCAGTTACGGACACTCGGTAGAGCGTTCGTTTGATTTGTTTCAGTCCATACTGCCAAGGCGCATAGCGCAATTACACCGATGTTCTGGATATTGAATAAAATCTAATGACAAGGAACTATCCTATTATTTAATTTAATTTTCAAATTTTATTCATTTTTATTTCATTTTTATATTTTTTCATTTTTATTTTATTTTCATTTATTTTATAACCAAAACTCAACGCTAAACAGAAACTATGTACATAATTTACAAAATTCTTGAATCATTTAAACAGGTTTTCTATAATTAACACATCTTTCAATCATCTCAGAATTATAGATCTGTTTATGCA